GGATGATCTATGCGCCGCTGCGCAACACCAATCCCGAGGGCGTGCTGGGCTACATTGAGACCCTAAAACAGATCAAGGTGAGATCACACTTGGACAACCTTCCACGCTGGTTTGATCCTTAATCTTTGCTTCATTCGTAGGAACAATATCCCGACTTCCTAGCCGGCTTTGATCTCGTGGGCCAGGAGGAGCTGGGCAAACCGCTGGGCGAGTTTATCGATCAGCTGCTGGAGGTGCCCGAAGACATTGACTTTTACTTCCACGCGGGAGAGACGAACTGGTTTGGTTCCACCGTCGATGAGAATCTCATTGATGCCATTCTCCTCGGCACAAAGCGCATTGGCCATGGCTTTGGTCTGGTCAAGCATCCGGTGGTGCTGGACATGCTGAAGAAGCTGAATGTGGCTATCGAAGTGAATCCGATCTCTAACCAAGTGCTGCAGCTAATCACCGACTTCCGCAACCATCCCTGTGCGCATTTCTTTGCCGATGGCTATCCCGTGGTCATCTCCTCGGACGATCCATCCTTCTGGAAGGCCACGCCCTTGACGCACGACTATTACATTGCCTTCCTGGGCATTGCCTCACAGCATGCGGATCTGCGGCTGCTCAAGAAGTTGGCCCTCAACTCGATTCAGTACAGCTCGCTGCCCACGGAGCAGCAGTTTGAGGCGCTGGAGAAGTGGCAGGCCAAGTGGGATCAGTTCATTGCGAATGTCAACGAGGAGTCATCGAATCGTGGGGCATCCAGTCAGCACCTCGATTGACTAGCACGGGTGGTGACAGCGTTTCTGGTTGCAGCTTTCTGCCTGCTAAGCTCTGGCCTGCGACGCTAGTCGGTTCTCCCCACTCACTGCATCTCCATCTGCATCTCTCATCCATTCATACATGTATCTATCCCCCACATATGCCAGTTTATGTTGTAAGCTAATTGTTATGGATTAGTCTTTAGTTAGACTTAAGCCTGTATCTATCTCTCGCTCTCTATCTCTCCATTAACTACTCTCTCTCTCTCTCTCTGTGTGTCCAACATGCTCGAACCAAAGAGATTGTGGCCACGCTTTGAGGCCCAACTATCGCAATAAAGAACTTTTGGCAGACGGAGCACAGCTAGAGCCCAAAACATAAGTCCAAGTGGGAAGTCCATGCAATTTATGTTTTTGCCAGCAGCTCAAACGCAGCAAAGGCTGAGCATTAATCCTAATGAGAGTGAGGCCAAAATGGGAGATGGAAACGTGAGCGTAGCTCTATTTATATGAAAGTAACACGAGGGATTGCTATCCCGAGAATCAACTCTGAGTAATCACTACTTTCTGATGAGCGAGGATAAAATGGGAACGTGTGGGAGTTATGACAGCAAAACAAATCGATTAAAGTTCCCGCGAATCTAGGCTAGATAATCATCAATTTCCTTTGCAGATTAGCCTTCCATCGATCTGTGAGTTATAGCTGCATTATTATCGCTCCACTTTCGTCTGCCACTAGCTTCCCACTTAGCTACGAATATCTTTCCCCATAATCATCAAAGTTGTAGTCACGCTGCCATCGCTAAGTGAAGCTTCATGTGCGAGTGTGCAGTCAAGGCTGAGCCTGCCCCTGCCTCGTCTCGTTGGGGGGTTTTCTCCATGTTTTTAGCACGCATAAATCTCTCATTGCCACTCGCTGTGTGGTGTGCCTGCTGCTGTGCCGAGTGCGCTGCAAAGTGGATACGAATTTTAATGAATATGCGCTATATGGTCGTTGAGTCACCCCACACCCACCCACACACATCACATCCGACCAACATCCCTTTGAGCTCCTGGCATGCTGGCCATACAACTGCCGCTGCGAATGTTTCAATTTTACGTGCCACTGTTTAGTGGCAAAGGCTGATGTGCCTGCCTCTGGGCATCCTGCAAGCGAATCCTGGTTCGATTTTGATTTGGCTCGCGCTGGTAATGAGCCTGAAGAGAGTTTTATGGACGACGGATGCAGCAGCACCCGCAGCCGCAGCCGCAGCCGCGGGTTCGAGGCCCATAAAATTGATGGGCGCGTCTGTTGCGAGTGGGGTGGGCCATGGGGCTTGTGGACATATTATCTGCCATTTCCACTGTGTGTGTGTGTGTGTGTGTGTGTGTGTGTGTGTGTGTGTGTGTGGCAGTCTCATCAATTTGATGTCGTGCACATTTAATGTGGTGTCAAAGGGGAATGCATAAAAAACCAGCGACCAGGCAGGAGTAGAGCTTCAGCCATAAATTACTAATAAAAGCCGCGAAGTGTAGCTGCGGAATGGCGTGCCGGAAATGCGTTGGTCGCCATTCCGTGTGCCGCGCAACGAATGGCAGCGGATTTGAGGCGCCAAGAAATGTGCGGCTTGGCCTGGCCCATTGACACATTCGACACCTGACACTGACACATTTCGTGTGAGTTTAGTAAATAAACTGAGAGTAGATCTAAAACACAGATTGGAACTCCAAATTCTATGCTAAAATTCTATGATTCATGTCCAAGTATCTGCCACGCCTGGCACCATGGAGGGGGCGGCTGTCAGCGCGGTTGATGCCGCTGCGCCATGCCACCACGGACTGCGACAAGATCGCCCACACGACGGTGTCCATGAGTCGCAGCCTGCGCAAGACAACGCCCGCGGCCTATAAGATTCTGCGCAAGGCTGTGTCCAGAGTGGAGCAAATGATTTGCATGGGCCAACGCATCAGACTAAGCGAAAAGGAGCAGGCGGCCAACGCTGTCATTATGCGCGTGAAGAAGGAGGAAATAAAGCGAGGACTGCTCGATCCATCCAAGTTCTCGCCGGGGCAGCACATCTTTCAGACCCTCAAACACATTAGGAAGTCGCCGATCTTTCAGCTGCTCAAGAAAATGCCCAAAGGCGGCGTGTTGCATGCCCATGATACGGCACTGTGCAGCACGGAGTACCTCATTGAGTTGACGTACCGCGAGCACCTGTGGATCTGCACCACGGATGAGGGCTGCAGGGCGATTGCCTTTCGCTTTTCGCTGGAGAAACCCACCATTGAGACCCTGGAGCCCTGCAACTGGGAGCCAATGGAGGAGTTTCGGCAGCGACGCGGCGAGGAGAATGTCCGAAAGTATTTGCAGCGGCGCTTCAGCATGTATCCCTTCTCGAATTTCAAGTCGAACAACGAGGCGTGGACACACTTCATGGGCATCTTCATACTGCTCGATGGACTCCTCTGCTATGCGCCCGTGTGGGGCGATTACTACTACAATGCCCTGCAGGAGTTATACGAGGATGGGGTGCAATATCTCGAGCTGAGATCCTTGCTGCCGCCGCTCTACTGCATTGGTGGCGAGATGCTGACCACCAGGGATACGGTGGCCATCTACCAAGCCGAAATGGAACGCTTCAAAGCCTCGCATCCAGATTTCATTGGCTCTAAACTCATATACGCCCCGCTGCGTGGTGTGGAGCCCAAAGTGGTGGAGGAATATGTCAAAACGGCAGTGGAATTGAATGTAAGTTGTCTGCAGCGAGTTCCGGGATATCCACTTTTAATTATTTTCCGCAGAAAGAATTCCCCAACTTTATGATTGGCTTTGATCTGGTGGGCCAGGAGGAGCTGGGCCGCCCGCTCAATGACTTCGTGGAGCCGCTGCTGACGATGCCGGAGCACATTAACTTTTACTTCCATGCGGGCGAGACCAACTGGTTTGGCTCACCCATCGATGAGAATCTGATCGATGCCATATTGCTGGGCACGAAGCGGATTGGCCATGGCTATGCCCTGACCAAGCACCCGCTGTCCATGGAGCTTTGCCGCCTGCTCGACATTGCCGTTGAAGTGTGCCCAGTGTCCAACCAAGTGCTGCAGCTGGGCGTTGACTATCGCAATCATCCAGCGGCTCTAATGATAGCTGCCAATGTGCCGATTGTTATCTCCTCTGACGATCCATCCTTCTGGCGTGTGGCGCCCCTGTCGCATGACTTTTACTTTGCCTTCCTAGGCATAGCCCCAATGCAGGCGGATCTGCGTTTCCTCAAGTGCCTGGCCCTCAACTCGATCAAGTACAGCGCCCTCAAGGGCAAGGAGCAGCGGGAGGCGTACAGCAAGTGGCAGAAACTGTGGAACAAATGGATCGATGATGTCATCAAAAATTCAAAGTAGTTTTGGTTTTTTTTTGTTTTCATTAAATTTCTCGCATTTATTTGATGTGTATAATTCTGCTCTTTTTTTTTTTTTATTTGCTCAGCTCTGAGAATGCCAGCCAAGAGGTTTGACTTTAGTCCTGAAACTTACATCGATATTTCGTACAATTGATATGGCTATGGGTGTGTGTGTGTGTGTGTGTGTGTGGGTGTGGGTGTTGATAAGCTGCTTAAATCAGGCTGGGGATATGTATTCATTAGTTGATTCATTTACATTCATTTATTGTAGCCATCTAAATTCATTGTTAAAGCCCCCCTTCCATCCAGCGTACCCATCAAGCAGTGAGTCTTATACGTATAAGATTCGAATACAAGTGAGTATAAGTATAGCACAGTTAACAGTTACAACTTGAATGCACACAAATTAGCAGCTGCCTTGCAGAGCGTTTGACCCTCCCTCCTCTGACGGCAACTTAGACCAAAATACGCTTCTCTTGCAAAGGGAGTTCAAAGCCATTTACAATACATTTATTTAGGGTGTTTTCTTTTTATTTGTTTTAATTTAATATTACTAATTATGTGTATAAGTATGCTGGCATTATTACTTTTATTATAAGTATTATTTTAGGGGGGAATGCTCTTCAATTTGTTGCTTCTTATTTTTTGCTTGCAAAAATATTTGGAAATATTTGACTTGTGTTTGCTTGCTTGACGTTGCTTCGGTTTTCCTTTAACCCTAATCTTCCATTGACATACCTAAACTTACGGCCTCGATATGTTCAAATCCTAAGTATAACTTGCATCACCCTTACCGTACCTCCACTCTTTACACTCCAACCATCCTTCCATCCTTCCATCCTTCCATCCATCCTTTGGGAATGGTCTTTTGTTTTTATGTATCGCTATGCTGTACAAATCTTAAACTCTACTCTGCCCTAGCCCCTACAATCTGCTGATCCCGTTCCTACTCCACTTTAATCAGATATTTCTGATCCCTCGCCTTGCCTGCTCTACTTTTCCTCTATCGCAAATGAGTTTTATGTTGGGGCTATGTGTAATGTTGCCAATGTTGCTGCTGGTGTGACTGATGCTGCTCTTGTTCCTGTTGCTTTTGCTGCTTTTGTCGCATTTTTGCGGTCTTCCAACTGGTTTCGCCCACGCTCAATGGATAGGGTATTATGTCCGGCTGTTGTTCCGAGGACGAATTGTCTATTTCGTTGTGGTCCATATCCATGTTGGCCGCATCCTCCTCGTTGTTTTGGGTTTGCTCGTTTGGCTGGACATTATTTTCGTGGTTTTGTCGCTGCCGCTGCCGCTGCCGCTGCCTCGTCCCTGGTTTCTGTTGGCCCTCATTAATATGGTTTTTGTAATTGTTATAACCATATTTATTCGTGTTGGACATGTTGTCATGGGGCATGTTGCTGCTGATGTTGCCGCTGTCACCATTGCAATGCTGCGTAATGAGACATGAAATAAGCGAGCAAAAATGTGCGTTAAATTGGAATAGAAATTTCTGCATATTTAAGAGTCATTTCATTGCATTTTTGGCGCATAATAATTATGGTAAAATACAATTATGAAATAATTTGTGGCCTCTGGATGTAAATTTCAGGGGTTTCAATCATTTTACTATTAATAGTTGTGGCTTATGGGGAAGGTTTATTTATATATTTAGATTATTTTGCACTGTTTTCCAGTTAAAACCTTGGGAGCAGTGCAGATAAGACAACCACAAACAAAGAGCTAGATAAAGACAGACAAAGACAAAAACAAGAACTAGCAGAACGTTCGTTCAAATTCAAATGTATATATTTATATATATTTTTTATGCAGTTAATTCTTAACCGATAAGCCATAAAGTACCCCCAGAAAATGGCACCAGCCAGAATGGGCCATGGTCAATGCCAATGCCAAATAACCGCAAAAAGATAAGCCCTACAAAATGGGCAGCATAAAAAGCAGCACACCCCAGCTGTCCCTCAGCAAACATGACTGCCACTTGGAGCAAAAACAAGCACACAGCTCGCATTGTGATCATTGGAGCTGGTGCATCGGGCATTGCGGCTGCCACGCGCCTGCTGGAGCAGGGCTTTCGGCATGTGCAGCTGCTCGAGGCGGAGGACCGCATTGGGGGACGCATACACACGATTCCCTTTGCGGATAATGTCATCGATCTGGGTGCACAGTGGTGTCATGGGGAGCAGGGCAATGTGGTGTACCAGCGGGTAAAGGATTTGGATCTGCTGGAAAGGTCCGGCGATTCTGCCATGCACTTTGTTCGCTCAAACAAGGACACGCTTGGAGAGGATCAAGCCAAGGCGCTGCAGAACTTCATGGACACCTCCACCACAATTACTGATGCTGACTACGAGGGGTCCGTGGGTGATTACCTCACCCAGAAGTACTGGCAGAACTTCCCCAACATGGATCGCACCGTGGCCAAGGAGGCCCTGGACTGCATCAAGAAAATATTCTGCAGCTCTGAAGCCTGCGATCATCTCTTCGAGCTGTCGCCGCAAAACTTTTTGACCTTTGACGAGTGCGAGGGCGATCACAATCTGAACTGGCGGGACAAGGGCTTCAGGCAGTTCCTCCGAGTGCTGATGAATGTCCAGCAGGATCAGCATGAGGATTTGGGCACACTCAAGGGTCACGTGCTGCTCAACAAACGCATTGCGGAGATCAACTGGCAGGGCACCGAAGAGCTCCAGATTCGCTGTTGGAATGGTGAGATTATCACAGCGGATCACATCATCTGCACCGTCTCCCTGGGAGTGCTGAAGGAGCAGCACAAACAGCTCTTTGTACCCGCCCTACCAGCGGCAAAGGTTCGCGCCATCGAAGGACTTCGATTGGGCACAGTGGACAAGTTCCTGCTGGAGTTTGCCGAGCAGCCAATGCCGGAGAAAATGCTGAACTTCAGCTGCCTCTGGCTGGAGGCCGATCTGCAGGAGCTGCGTGGCACCGAACACTTTTGGCTGGAGGGAATATGCGGCTTTCATCGAGTTGCTCATCAACCGAGGCTGATAGAGGGCTGGATCATTGGATCGAGTGCACGCCACATGGAGACTCTCACGGAGGAGAAAGTGATCGAGGGCTTGCTCTGGCTCTTCCGTAAGTTCTTGCCCTTCGATGTGGCCCATCCGAAGCGCTTTCTGCGCACCCAGTGGCACTCCAATCCCAACTTCCGTGGCAGTTATAGTTATCAACCCACGTACGCGGATGAGCTGCGCACGGGTCGCTGGGACCTGCAGTTCCCACTGGCGACTGTCTCCGGCCGCCCTCGACTGCAATTCGCGGGTGAGGCGACCAGCAGGAAGCACTTCAGCACGGTGCATGGTGCCACAGAGACGGGCTGGCGTGAGGCGGATCGCCTGAATGAATTTTACAAAGTTAGAGCTTGAACATGGCTGGGGAAATGTCTTTGAATATGAACTGAAACTTTGCTAATCGAATAATGGCTTTGGAGGGTACAATAAGTTAGTCGGGCAATTGAGGCAAATGCGTTTTCATCTTTACCTCTGTATCCATTCACATTACCATAGCCATTCCCTTTTCCATTCCTATTCCCTTAAGCAAACACAAAGAAATACTTTGCCAGTCATAACAACCATTAACTGGACCATAACAGGGGCAAAACAGTAGGAGGAGCAGTGGGACGATGTGACTCTTTGGGCCAGGTGAATGTGTGTGTCCTTTGGTCAAACAAAGACTTGTTTAGCATTGTCACTCGGGGAGTCAGGACAGAGAGCACGCGGCTGGGGAGCTAAAAAACACGTATCCGGCTGGCTAGACACCAAAGCCGATGCCAACGACTGTCGCTGCTGCAGCGCATTAACCGACAGGCACATGGGGAGGCAGACACAAAGCTGCAGCAGCTGTGGCCAACTTGTAGAGGAGAGCCAGTTTTTTGTAGATTCCTTCAGCTGGAAGGGCGACAAAGTCGCATATGCAATTGGACTGCGGCGGCTGGGCGGGGATGGGACACAGAGGCGTTGACTACGACTATCAGGGACCACGGACCAAAGACCAGGGCGACATGCAAACAAACAAACAAAGTCGGACGGACCGAACTTGAATGGGTGTAAGGACCCAAATGGGCAGCCAGCAGCAAGAGTCACATCAGAGCACAGAAATTTAGGAATGTTCTGGCCCCGGTTTGGCATAAATTTGAATTTTCAACATGAACCAAAACCAAAGTGCTGCCTGCTGCTGCTGCTACTGCTCGGCAATTGTTGGTGGAGCAGCATTTTGCAGCACAATCGCATCGGCCAATGTTCCTGCTAGTCCTTGCCTCTGCTCTACGTACGATTGTTGTGGTTTCTGTGGCCCATGCCTGGGCTGCTGGTCCGCCCTTTCGCCCTGAGTTTTTTTGTTCCCTTGCCTTGCATTCAGATATGTGCTAAACTGATTTCTGCTTTCCATACGTATTGCTCTCGTAATCTGAACTTTTGCATGTGTGAGCAGACCCTACAGGCGGAGGCACCGCCCATCGTCGGGGATGCCGACTACTGAGTGAGTGTTTGTAAATGGCACCCGAAAAACAGGCGCAATTACAATGTTGTTTGGCTCCCCCACTCGCTGCAAATGAGTTGGTCAACATGGTTTGGCTTTTATTTGGCCTCGCTCCGCCTCTTCCCTCTTTGCCTCCTCTGCTGCTGCTAGCTCAAATGTTGTGATACGCAAAAGTTTTCCACTGAAACTGTTGAAATTTTAAAGCAGAAACCGTGCTCTAAGTAGTCCAATAAATGCGATAATCGATCCAGGTTTATCTTATCAAAGTCTGTATTCTGGTTGAATTTATGTAACTTTAAACATCGGAATACCTTTCAAATTTCTCCCTAATTCTATAGCACACATTTCACCACTCACAGCTGCGACATCCTTTGCCTGTAGTAAAAATTTAGACGCTCCGCCTCGCGCCAGCCCGTCTCCACGGCTCCATGCACGGTGGAGTAGTAATGCTTGTGGGTGGCCTCGCCGGCGAACTGCAGTCGCGGCCGACCGCCGACATCCAGCAGCGGCGACTCCAGATCCCAGGCGCCCGTGCGCAGCTCCTCCGTGTAGGTGGAGCGGAAGGTGTAGCTGCCGCGGAAGTTGGGATTCGCATGCCACTGGGTGCGCAGGAAGCGCTTAGGCTGGGGCACATTGAAGGGCAGGAATTTGTGGAAGAGCCAGAGCAAACCCTTGAGAACTTTCTCCTCCGTGAGGGTCTCCATGTGGCGTGCATGCGCTCCAATGATCCAACCCTGTAGAATGCGCGGCTGGTGCGAGACGGGATAGAAACCAAAGACGCTCTCCAGCCAGAAGAGCTCCGAGTCGCGCAGCTCCTCCAGATCCTCCTGCAGCCAGAGACAGTTGAAGCCGGGCCAGTCCTCGGGCAGGGGCGGAGCAGCAAACTCCAGGAAGAACTTGTCCACCGTTCCCAGCTTCAGGCCGTCAATGGCACGCACCTTTGGCGCTGGGAGGGCGGGCACAAAGAGCTGTTTGTGCTGCTCCTTCAGCACTCCCAGGGAGACGGTGCAGATGATGTGATCCGCTGTGATAATCTCACCATTCCAGCAGCGAATCGTCAGCTCATCGACGCCCTGCCAATTGATCTCCGCAATGCGTTTGTTGAGCAGCACGTGACCCTTGAGTATGCCCAAATCCTCAGGTTGATCGTCCTTTACTTTCATTAGAACTCTGAGGAACTGCTTGTAGCCCTTGTCCCGCCAGTTGAGCAGCAGTTCACCGTCACACAGCCAGTACTCCAGGTGTCCGCGGCCCGACACTTCGTAGAGATGATCCGCGGCCTCCACAGATGCCTCAAATTTGTGGAACACTTCGAGGAACTCCTCGGCAATGTTGCGATCGATGGGCGGCAGCTTGGCCACCTCTTGCCAGTACTTCATGTTCAGGTAGTCGCCCAGGGAGCCCTCGTAGGCCCCCAAGTCGGTCTGTCGCTCTGGAATGGAGTCGAAGGCGATTTTCTTTAGCTGATCCGCGATCGTCTCGGGCAGCACCTCCCCGTTGGAGCGCACGCACTTGAAGTTCTCGTAGTGGGGCTCCGTCACCTCCAGCAGCTTCTGGTCCATCACCTTCTGGTACACCACGTTGCCCTGTTCGCCGTGACACCACTGTGCACCCAAGTCCACAACATTATCCGCGAATGGAATCGTGTGAACGCGTCCGCCGATGCGGTCCTCTGCCTCGAGCAGCAGCACGTTCCGAAAGCCCTGCTCCAGCAGGCGCGTGGCTGCCGCTATGCCCGCTGAACCAGCACCCACAATGACGATGCGGGCGGTTTGTTTGGTTTTGCTGAGCATTCGAAGGGAGGAGGCACTCATCTCGTTTGTGGAGTGGGATGTAGTTATTGTTGGCTTCGTGGGCACACACCACCAGTTCTGCGTTGTCCAATGTTCGCGACTTTAATAAAAACTCTGCCAGCGGCTGGCGACCAAATTTAGTTTGCTCACTTTCACACGGTGACGGATAGTTCCCGCTCTCCCTCTCTTCCACGTTTCCATTCTCTCTCGCAAGGTGTATTTATTTCGGGTGAGTCATTTGCTTAGAGAACTCTCACGAAACACGCTGATATATATCAAGCAATAATTCCTAGAGAGAGCGCATGCTAGCATTACCCACCCTTCTTTTATGAAACTCAAGCTGCTCTCTTTCTCTCTCTCTCTCTCTCGCTTTCTGCTCATCTGTCTGTTTCTATTGATTCAGCTATCTCTGGCGCTCGCCTCTGCTTATTCGACGCTGCTGCGATAAGATCAAACTTGCCGATTATCGTAGGTTTCATTTTTCGTGAAACTCGTGTTAAGTTCATACAATAAAAACCCACACAGCAATTGTTAGGAGTACAATTAAGTTATCAGCAGTTTTTATCGGCCTGCAATATGAGCCGGCAGCAACAAGCGCAAAAACTAATAAATAAGAGACCAAAGCAACGGCCGACTCTCTCTCTCTCTCTTAAGTTACTCTCGCTCTTAAGCCAAGTGCGCGACGCTCCGTTACGTTTTGACATGAGAGTTTTTGGCTGTGTCTTTTCTGGCGTTATTTGGTATGTCATTTCAAATGTTTCTTTTATTTGTTTGTGTATTTTAATATTCCAGCAAATCGGGAGATTTATTTATGATTTTTAATAATTTAGGCGTAGAAAATGTTAGGAATTATTTACAAAGGAAAAAGTTGCCTCAGGAATTTTTAAATTTCGGATTTTTACCGATTAGGATATCAATCTGTTGTTGAATTCGAACTTCATTGCAACAAAATCCCATTCAGAGCTTAGCAATTGCAAAACAAATGCTTCACTTTAGGCAAAAGCCGAAAACAATCGCACAGATTCACTCCACTACGCCACACACTCACAATGGAGAATCGACTACATCCATTCGTATGCTGTACATTCATTCGTAACGCATGCAACAAAATGTTCTGTTCTGGCTGTTCCACTACCAAAAGCTACTGCCACTGCGGCAGCCGTACGAGTGAGAGGAGAGCCCCACTGCCTTTGATGAATGTATTCATAAAAATCCAATCATTGCAATTGCAGAGCGCACTCGCCAGCTAAAGCATTCGCATTCAAGATGAATACGCCGAAATAATGGGAAAACACAACAGACAGCTGGGTGCCGTGCCGCCAAACCACCTAACCACTGTGAATGGACCCACAGGTCCACCCATCCAAGCTGCTGCCTCCTGCCCTTTGTTTCCCTTCGCAGACGCAAACAAAAAATTGCAGCAATAATTTTTTTTCGTTTTTGCGGAAAACAAAAACATTTTTGTGCATAGAATGGGAAAATAACTAGAGTTGAGCCCAATGAGATTGAAGGAGCAACGACTGCGGATACACCCATTGAAGAAATGTGCACTGGGAGATTTCCAGCTAAGATATTGGTTGGTATATGAAGCAATAAATAAGCTATATGTACCTCATTGAACAGCTTCCTTTTCAGCCTAATACACCCCAAAACCTTCTGCACTTCAAGGGGTGTGCATCTGTGTTATAACAAGAGAGGAGCCAGAGCGCTTACAGAACGTTAACAACAACAAAAGATGCGATTAAAATGACAAGTGAAAGCAATTTTCGAAAGCATCTGCTGCTAAAGCGATAGAGAAGGAGAAACAGGAACACAGGGTAAAGGGAGAAAAGGAGAGAAAAGCTGAAATGACTGTCGAAGTATGGACACAACCGAATGATTGCCTCAAATGGAATGCGAATATGGCTGCTGAGGGGCAGAGGTATACGAAAACGGGGCATGGACACCCAAGTCAAAGTCCCAGCGGTAGCTCCACCTTTTACCCCAATCCCAGCCCATACCATCTCTGTGCCCGATACTTACATTCTTGCTGCATTCACATTTCAGTATCCATTCGACGGCAATGAATTTATTGTCAATTTGTTTCTGATGTGATTGCAGGAATTCCTGATCGATTGGTTCCAATGCTACGGTATCCCATAACTGTGCACTCTGCAGCTGCTCCTTGGGCTGCTCTGAGTGTTCCTGCTCATACTCATAGTCATCCTCGCTGTCGCCGTCATCATCATCGTCCTGCTGCTGTTGCCACTGTCTGGCCAGGACACGCTGTTGTACGTAGTTAATTGGATCGACAGCATTTAAGGGACACAACAGCTCGACCTGAGACACCGAAAAACGGAGAGAGAAAGAACAAAAGAATGAATGAAAAAAAATCGGATTAAAGATGTGAGTGTACGAAATCAGTGTCCAAAGGCCTGCTCCTGCACAGGATTTCTCCTTGCTGGCCGAGAGGACGAGGGGGGCGTTGGTGCTAAATTGTTTCTGACATCGAAGCAGCATTTGACTTTTAATTTTGCCTCCGTTTGGCATTTGCAACTGCAAGCTGCATCTGCAAATTGACGTTTTAATGCAATGTGCTTTTTAATTAAAACTAAAAGGCGGCTAAAAGGCAAAAGCCAATAAACTGCACAAAAACACAGCAACAAGAATCTGTCCGTCCGTCTGTCCGTTTTGCAATGGGAATAACCGACAGTGGGATATCCTGTCAATTAGGGGGATAAAAGTTTATACATTTTAGGGCTAAACTTTCAGTAAATTCAAATTCAAATAAGCGATATATCGATATTTCTTTAGCTCAACTGAAGTGTGACCAAAGCTTGTTGGCTTAATGGCAAAGTGTGACCAAAGACTGCAAAGCTGCACTTTCGACGCTTTATTTTTCTGCAAGCAAGTAATTAAAATAATCCACTTTTATCGGTGAAATCAATAAATCTTTTGCTGTTTTCTGGCTAAAATATTTACAGGCAATACGTAACGCAGTCAACCCAATGTCAAAAATATTACTACGCACATCTGACGACGTTATTCTCGAGACTGTACGTAAGGTCGTCAAGTGCTGCCGCAATATTCCGCTCGAAAGTGAGGAAGAAGTGCCGCTGCCCAGAGTGGATGCAAAGAATTTGCGCAAAGTTTTGGAATGGGCCGAACACCACCAGGAGGACAACGAAGATGTCTTTGAAAATAAAGCCATCGAAGTGCCAGAGTGGGACATGAAATTTATGGTGAAGCCGACATCGGAAATTATATCTCTATTTTCGGCAGCCATTCACTTGGACATCAAGGCTCTGAATGATCTCTGCTGCCGCGAGTTAGCAATCAGGATCAAAGGACAGAGCACGGAGGAGATGCGTGAGACTCTGAATATCGCTTCGGTGGAGGCCAAAGGAGAGTAACTTCGTTCCTGTTTGTCGTGGTTTTTGTGTAGAATAAATAAACCGATGCCTTGCAAAGGGTATCAATGCCATGGAGCGAACCACTCCTCAAGCCTTGGGGCTTTGCCTGCGACCTTTAATGGCTGTCGATGGGATTGCATCGAAATTAACGATAATTTAATTGAAACAGACAAATGGCAAAAAACAAGCAGGCAAATACCGAAGCAAGCTGTGAATGCAAATGCGGGAAAAGTGCCCGCCCAAAGGTAAATGGAAATGGAAATGGAAATCGCAATGGCGGATAAAAGGAAAACACGCTGGAACGGACGGGTGATGCGCTTAGCTGCCGAAGGCATCAGCTGTGTCTGTGTCTGGAGCTTACTGCTGATTCCCTCTTAGCCCCGCTGATTGTTGCTGGCTGTTTGGATGGGGAAATCTTTTTCTTTTCACCTGTATCGTGGTGGACACCGACGGGGCACAGCACTTGAGTCCGCGATGGCAGCGTCCGCACAGCTTCGGTCGATAGAGCTTACGGGAGACGCATTCCCCCAAACGAATCCGCGCTGGACCCAGTCGCTGTATGCTGCGGCACTCGTGGCCCTTCTGTGGAACAAGCAAAGAAAAATATGCGGATTAGTGGCAGGGAACAATCCTTTAAGCGTGCTCCAACTCACTCGTATCCTGTGTGCTGGCTCCTGCTGCTCTCTATTGTGATGATGATGATGGGTGTGTGGGGCATGGCCCTCCTCCACATGGTGTTTCCTTCTCCGTGTTAATGAGTGTCTGCTGCTGCTGCTGCTGCTGCTGCTCCTCCGCCTATTGTCCGCTTGGTTGTGGTCGCCATCGCCAACGTCACACCTACGATTCTCGCAGAGCCGCAAATTGCTCAATTGATGGCAGCCCGCGTGGGGTGTGCTCGTCTGCCTGGTGGCCGTGCCGAGGCCACAGCTCCGGCTGCAGGCGGTCCAGTTGCCGCTGGTGGTGCTGTTGTGGCAGGTGGCGTAAACTGCAACGATTCGAGTGGAAAAGAGTTGCTAATGGCAATGCTTATGCTGATGCTGCTCCTGCTACCATGATCGAGTGCCGCTGGCTCATTAATCATGGCCACATGGCAGACACGAGCCAGGGGATGACGACATAAACACAAAACACACAAAGTACGCTGCTTAGCTGAGGGCAACGAACTCGAAATACTCTGTGGCAAGGCACTTCCTACGTTCTGCCTCTGATTCGAGGACTCAAACTTCCACTTGAAGCCATGGACAAGGCCTTATACTCTATAGCTCTATAGCTACTGGCAGCAGCGCTTAATATCTTGTTTATTTATTGCATTCTGCGCGTTTAATTAACACTTAATCCTTGTGTAAGTAATTATGCTGCTGCCGCTGCTCTCCTGCTGCTGCTCCTCCTCCTGCCAGCAGTGGACCGAGCAGCTCGGTTGGTGGCTGATGGAATAATTCATCTTCATAAATATGCGCTGCACTTTGGACTGGAGCCTGGACCAAGGATGGGCCTGTGGCCTGTACTGTGCGGGGGTACGCTTAAAAGGCATTAAGTTACGCCTCGAACACAGTACGGCACGGGCCCGGCACGCCCCTCAGCGCCATTAACTCGAACGAGCGGACCAGTAGCCCAACAACCATAAACACACTTATAAAACAACAAGATGGCCATGGAGCAAGTGGTAGACGAGGACTTACCATCAGCTGTTGGATTCTCACAGAGCCACATCTTGCAGCAGTGACCGGGCACCTCGACTAGGCGCGGCGATCGGCAGGAAATGGTGTCCTCCGGCGCAGGCAGCTGCTCGTTGGGACACAGCGTCGAGCAGGCGTGGCGGCCATTCTGCAATGCCACATTAAAATACATTAAATGTGGGGCCTATTCACTTCTTATATATTACTCGTGCCCTTTCCCGTTCCCTTTGTCCTTGTTGTGGTTGAGGTTGCTGTTTATTTAGCTTTGGCCCAAAATAAAGTCATAATGTAAAGAAAATATTGGCCAAAACGTGCAGCAGTTGGGGCCCCCGAAGAGACGGCGAACTTGGCAAGCAACTCGACTTGCCCAAGAAGTTTGTTTGTGTTGCCTCCTCCTCCCCACTCTCTCTCCCTCTGCCATTGGTTTTGCTTCTGTGTGTGTGTGTGTGTGTGGAAATTAACATTTTGTCCTGTCCGGCGTGTGGGGTCCGTGTGCTTTATTTGTAATCCACTTCTTGCCCTCTGTACCCTAATGATGATATTTTATCCCCCATTCTCAACATCGACACTAAATTGCATTTCATACATTGCCTCGCCACATTCGTGTGTGGCTCGCATGCCACATGATAAACTACTGCCCGCCGCCTGCAGCTGCTGCAAACCTAACAAGGTGTGAGGTTCGATCCAGACGTGGACCAAGAGATATGGTAAAATCCTCGCTTGGCCATAAAGCAATGTCAGGGATTTGGTTTTTTCATTGTTTGCATTTAGATTTATCTTGTAAACGAGCTTTAATCGATGTGGCAGCAGACCACTCGTTTTTTTAAATCTCCAAATCCAGAAGAGAAAAGAGGTGACGTCATAGAATTTTATCTGTGCAGACCTTTAAAGAGGCAATTTAGTTTAGCAGCGAAGTGAAGCATCATGTTGAATCCAGAGGCATGTTAATTTAGCAGCGAGCCAGTTGCCAAATATAACATGAGTGAGAATACATTAACATTGTGATCTGCACTGCAATGCTAGGCCACACTTTCGCTCTCGTTTTCTAGTGTCAATCCAGAGGTATGTTAACTTAACAGCGAATGAAAGCGAAAGTGAGAAGGGGCCTTGACCTACATTCGAGTATTTGTAACAGAAGCATGTTAATTTAACAGCGAATCAAAGAGATCTATGCTCTCTTGCTCGGCCACTCACTTTCGATTTCGTTCATTGCTGAAAGATGGAGAGGAAGACGAGGAGAAGCGAATGCAGATTTCTATGCCAGATCTTCGACCATCCGCCCACGCTGCTCTGCTGCAGCCCTCGTCGTGGAGTAAACGGACTTGAAATACATTGATAACTGTTGGGAAAATTGTCAAAACACCCAAGTAATAAGTGTAGCTAAAGTTTGAAATGGAAATCTTGCGAAAAAGTGCAGTGAAAAGCCGGAAAAGAGATGAAGTGTAGTGTGCGTGTGAGAGTGAGAGTGAGAGTGTGTAAGGGCGGCACACAGCACAAGGCGACAAGCAGCGCATGGCGAGTTTGGATAAATCTGGCGACAAGAAGTGAGTGTAAAGTGAAAAGAGGGTGATAGTGATGTAGTGAGATCAAATGCGAGTAAGAACAACTAAAGAAAGAGCGGAAATATTGAGCGCATTGATGGCCGCAAGCAAAAGCAACGGCAAAATATGAGTGCTTTTTTTTCAGTGAGAGTGAGAGTGATGGATGGTCAATAATGACGGCAAGAAGTACCTGGCGAAAAATTGTGAGTGTAAAGTGAAAAGTGAGTGAAGTGAAGGATGGTCAAGTACGACGGCAAGGGGCACATGGCGACAAGAAGTGAGTGTAAAGTGAAAAGGGAGTGATAGTGATAAAGTGAGATCAGCTGCGAGTGAGAACAACACTACAATGTACCGCATGACTAAAGACAGAGCGGAAATATTGAGCGCATTGATGGCCGCAAGCAAAAGCAACGGCAAAATATGAGTGTTTTTTTTTTCAGTGAGAGTGAGAGTGATGGATGGTCAATTATGACGGCAAGAAGTACCTGGCGAAAAATTGTGAGTGAAAGTGTAAAGTAAAAAGTGAGTGAAGAAAAGGATGGTCAAGTATTTGCCGCACACGGCAAAAAAAGTGAGTGTAAAGTGAAAAGTGAGTGAAGTGATGGTCAAGTACGACGGCAAGAAGCACAGGCAAAAAAAGTGAGTGTAAAGTGAAAAGTGAGTGACAGGGATAAAGTGAGATCAAATGCGAGTGATAACAACAATAAAATGTACCGCATGACTAAAGACAGAGCGGAAATATTGAGCGCATTGATGGCCGCGAGCAAAAGAAAGTGTTTTTTTTTTTCAGTGAGAGTAAATGTAATTACGTGCAAGAAATATTCCAAAAAAATAATGTTTAACGCTTTGACTATTTACAAAAACAACAACAAAACAAAACCACAAACAATATTAAACGCTAAAGCCATATGGGAACCGGTGAGTCTCTCTTATTTGTTCTTTTCCTCTTTATTTTGTTGTTATTTTTTTGTATATCCTCTTGTGCTTTCTATTTTACTGTTTTTTTATATTTTCTATATATTTCCCATATATTTTATATTTTCTATAAATTTTCCATATATTTCCTATATATTTTTCATATATTTTATATTGTCTGTATTTATTTATCCTATTAATGTTATAGGTTTTTGTGTTGTTGTTTTTGATCGTTGAACTTGTTCTGCTGTGATAGTATTCATTGTTTCAGATTTTTTCAGATAAAAAGCAAATAATTTATCTCATTTCTTAAATTTGTCACCTATTTACATTGAAATCCTGCAATATCATAGAATAAGAATACAAATACAGCAGCTGACATTGTCCCCCTTAAGCCCCTTTCCATAATCCCCTCAATTATGGCTCACATCTAAAACTACAGACTGCCGCACCGAATGCTATTTAGAGAGCAGTTCACACTGTATTTAAATTTTAATTAAAAATGCTGCCATGCAAAAGCCATTTACAGCTAAATGGACCAAGTGTTAGTGTTAATCCCCCAAAAATACATAAGAGAACGGAAAAAAAGAGTAAAAGCCAAGAGGGAAATGGGTCTAAACACAGGTTAAACAACAGCAGCGGGCGACTGAAACGGGAATCGTTTAATAAAACTGCACTTGGCTTATGGCTGTAACTGTGGCCCTGGGCTGGGGCCCTGTTCCGTTCTGTTCTGTGGTTGTCTGTGGCTGTCTGTGGTTGTTGTGGCCAACGATGGCCATGGTCCTCCCAGCCGTGGCCCCGACCGACACTCACCTCGCAAACGCATTGGGTTTTACAATCCAATTTAAATGTGACTCCATGTGCGAATGTTGTGTTGCCAACACTGCAATTGGCTGCAGGCGACCAAGAGAGGCCACAGATCGAAATCCGTATACGTATCCGCGTCCACATCCGCACATCCACATCCAAGACCATATCCAAATCGAGTCGCAGATGCCGAAGGTTGTCGTTGCAGGGGGTTTCCATTGTAGTCGCGTTCACCAGAGGCCAAAAAATGGTTGCATGTGGGGGAGGAGTGGAGGAAAAAGAGAAAATTCAAATGAGCATAAAAACGGTAGAGCAAAAACTGTCAAAGCAAATTAAATTAAATTGAATTGAAGTTGGCTGAGAGTCTCTTTAATGTGGCTCCGTCTGCTCATGATGGTACTTAGGACTAGAGGGAACTTTAGACAGTTCCTTGGCGGTTTTCCCCACAAACGAACTCTTACTTATGAAATGTACATTTCATTTCATGTTTTTATATGCTTTTGCTTTGCTTGGTACTAATTTATATCATCAAATGGGTATGTGCAATGTCAATGAATGGGAACGCAATTAATGTCAGGCCTGTTTGTTATAAATTTCGCTGGAAACGCATATTTACGAGGCAAACAATAGAGCCAAAATTCCCATTCCAATTGCTTTCCATCCCATTTCTTGTCTCATCAAAATTGATATTGACAAATGTAGCTGTTTTATGGCATGCCATTAGGCCGCAAAAGTTTGCTTTTGCCCCGACTCCGCGACTGACTCCCTGGCTTCTTTGTGCTGGCCAAAAACTCGTATGTGTAGCCGCCAATCACAATTACTTGGGTCCTTTCTGGGGCGCAGGAGACGGAGCCTGTGCAATCGCATTCCGGGAAGCTGTTACCTCATAGATAGCAGGGATCCACCCACTTGTGTGTGTGTGTGTGTCCTCCGTCTGTCTGTCTGTCTGTGCTTGAAAATGGGTGCCTGGCTACGTGCTCTGTACTTTTCCACTTTGAATTGATTTCACTGGCGACGTGACTCTGCCACCGGCACGCAGGCGGGCGAGGGGCAGCCGCCACAGTAGAAGAAGACTCTCTCTCTCTCCTGCGCTTAGGCATCGGCATCATCATTCATTTGGCATCAATGGTTAATGTGAAAATTGGCATTGCCAGGAGAGCTGATTGTAATGAATATGGGCACGTTGTCGCATCTTTATGACACTAGCAATTTGCCTTTACATATTATTGAAAAGTTGCCAGCATCGAGCAATCGGACAATGCCGGAAGCACCTACGTGAGGGTTCTAGCTCTGCCACTGTGTGGCGTGTCACTGCATCTTTCACTTTGCGTGGCGATACAGATAAGGTGAAATTGTGTCATTTTCGAAAGTGCAATCTTCTTAATGTACTTTGGCATAAGAAGACGACGCACACACAGAGCCACGACGCCACACAAAATGCTGTCTGCATTGAACACTCCTCGCACAAAGACAAGCCACATCCAACCACAGCCGCACATACAGAAGGGAAAGAAGTGTGCAAAAAGCTTCTACTGCAGACTCGGCTGTCAATGGCTCACATGCATGCACCTGTATGTGTGTGTGGGGGTGTAACAGAGTTCGTTACAAGCAATTGCTTACCCCCTAACGAATCGAGCTGAGCAAAAAACAAGGCACCCCAGGGGAGATGAGACCACAAGAACGAAGATGCTATGCTCTAGCTTAGCTAATGACATGAAATTGTGCGAAAAAACATTAGAAAATAGGAGAACAAAAATTGTTAAGAATATTCGCATATTTATGGTATTTTTTTGCTGCCTAAAATTCCAATTGAATGTCTGTTAAATCCACCAATCATACGGCTAGCTACGTCTCTAATGAAGCTGTGCATTTTTTTAAACATTATCAATTCATGTTCCTGGTAAACAAAGGAACCCAACTCAGACATAGGAAGAGAAATACAGGGAGAGAATGTCAAAGGAAGCCGGAAGCGAATGCTGGAATGTGCAATGTGAGCACTTTTATCTACCGTTCGTTGTCAACATTTAAGGCTTTTTCACCCACTCTTTGTCTATGCTCCCAGCTGAAGCGTACTTAGGTGCTCCATGGATGTCTACATATATATACTCTTATAACCATATATCCCCAGCTAAAACCGATGTCATGCCTCATACATTTTCTTTCCTGCAACGAACTCCTTGCAAGCCTCGTCTACCCTTTCTCTGTTTTTGTTGGTGTGACATATACATATTTTTTGTGCCCAGTGTCCCTTAGTTGGGTGGGGTCACCCTTCACCACTGTCGCTTGGCTCTGTTTGGGGTCACGTGTGCGCAGTTTATTTGTTTTATGCAGCCTCTGTGTATGTCTCTCCTGGCCCTTTGTCTGGCCCCTGCTAGAGTCTCTGCTGTAGTGTTTGTTTTACTTAGAGTTTTAGATTTACTTAAGTCGTTGATGACCATGACCAAATAAAGTTTCATTTTGTGCAAAGATTTACAACACTCGAGCGTGTGTGCGACAAGTTTTGAGTAGCCCCTGTCCATGCCACCCCTTGTGCCACATATCCCCTGAATAAGAGCCAAAAGAAGTCCAAGTTCCCAAAAGTTCCTTGCTCCATGCTGCGTATGCGCAATTTTTGTGGCTCAAGTGTTTGCTTGGGACATGACGTGATTGAGTGCTGAAAACTGTTCCCAATTCTACTTCAAAAACGAAAATCTGCACTAAAGATTGCGCCTGTCAGAGCCCAAGACCCCCCCACTTGCCACTTGGCTACGATTGCCGCCAGAAAATTGGAAAGGATTAACAACTTGACTTGGGGGCCAAAGGGAGCCTGGGGAGCCTGACGAGAGAAGCCTTTAAAAGCCTCAACTGGAATTTAAAATATTTTCTGTATAGGAGAAAAACTTGTGTGAAACTCATCATATGATTTGTGTCAAATGAATGCAGGAAGGTCAGAGAAGTTTTTAAAATTATTTTCATCAAATGAATGGAGAAAGGATTATTAAAGGAATAGATGCTGTAGGCTGATGTAATTTCTCAAAAATATATATTCTAATTTCATGGAATTTTCTACAAGTAAAACTTTTCCTTTTAAAGATTTTTGTGTCATTCTCTGGCCTCTGGGCACTGCTGCTGCCACTGCAAATAATATCCACAGAGTAATCTTTGCAGCTCATTCGGAGCTCCTCATTTCTACACGTATTCGTAAATATGTTTTGGACAAGTTCACAGTGCCTCAGCATCAGTCCGTGTTCCGATAACTTTTCGCTTTTGGCTCGCTGCGTGATGGGTTCTGGGATTGCCGGGAAATAAAGAACAAGTTCTACAGTTTAAATAAACTTGTTCCGTATTGCCTGGATGGACAATGCATCATATGAACACAGCAAGGGGGAGTAGTTTTTCTCTATGTGTGTGTTAGTAGAAAATACAGCAAACGTGTGGAGCATTGATATGGGGCCCTGGGCTACATGCACACGGTGGACACACGGATACGTGCGAGGCCCTGGGGCTCGGCCCAGCTCAGCTCAGCTCTGCGCTGGTAAAGTTTTACTTCGGTCGTGGCCATACTCGTACACAAACTGTATTGGCATTTGACTCAAAACTTTTGACTTGAATGGGGACACAGACGAATGAGGTATGAGGCAGGGCCAATTTTTCCTACAAAAACAAATTGTATTTTATATATGCACCAAAAATGTCTAGTATATGTATGTTGTAACGCCCTCGAATCGCAAAAAGTTTGTGTGGCACAGTTCGGACCCCTGCTGCTGTTTAATTTTGAACATTTTTCTACGAAAATATAAATATTTAGGTATGGCAGGAAGGCAGGATAAGTGCCACATGTCGAAGAGAATTGAACACACAGCAACTCGTACTCGTACATTTAACAAAAAGTAAAAAATGAATCGAACATAAAACCATTAAAATCAATTTACTCGTTAGTTAGGGGCTTGGATGGCTGTCCCCTGGGCGCTGGGATATCTGCTAAGCCAGGATCTGGATACCAGTATCCCATATGTAGGTAGGTGCACAACGAATGACCGGAAACGGGTCCCCAAAACTTCGGCCAAAGCATGAGCGGAATTGAAAATAAATATAACATTTCCTCGCTGCAAGTTTTAATGAAATTTTTGGCCCAGCGATTGTGTCCGGCTCTTTTGTATTCCCTTTGGACGACGATACCCCGTAAAATCCGAAGTCTTTCTCCATGCTTGTGATCACTTTTAATGCTGTTTATTTCTTAAAATTTTGGAAATTAATTCTCTGCATTAATTGTGCATTAAGATAAATATTTCTACAGCGACTCCCATGGCGGTAAACTGACTTCAATTACAGGATATTTGCCAAGTTTTCATTGCCTTTCCTTTTACAAAATAAATCTCTGGCATGAATATTTATTCGGCCTAGGCGACCAGTAAATGGAAAACAAGATTTAAATAAGATAACTTGGCAAAATGGGGATACATTTTCGGCCCTTCTCTTTATTCGCGTTTTGCTGGTTGTTGCACTTTAAAAAGTAATTTTTGGCAGCCCCGCGATGTGCCTGGCACTGGGATGGTGATGGTGATGTGATGATGATGATGTTGCTGCGACAGGCCTTTGATTAATGAAGCACAAACTTAATGTAATTCCGAAATCGATGGTAAATACCCATTGAGTGTTTGCTCGGCTTCGTTTTAGTGCAATTGAAATCCTAAGATGAAAATCATAAGAAACTTACCTGGATTGGGATGCCGGGGCAACTGTTTCACGCGGATGGATGGGTCAGGGGGGGTTGGATAATTAAGAAAATAGCATTAAGGGGCATTCATAAAAGTATTCATGGCGCTGGTATTCAAACTCACTTTGATGGCCTTAAAGCCCAGACTCAGGCTCGCCTCGACGACTCCAGCAACGAGACCATTGCCAAATATTCCCAAAAACGGCAGCAGTATCAGCATTTTCTGTCAAATATTTACAAACACAGACATAATTATTATTTATAATATATTTAAACAGAGTGAGAGAGAGAGAGGGATGCAAATTGGATGCAGTCTATTAAGAGAAAAAAAAAGGAGAGCTCCTAGCAGCCGTGGCAGTCGACTTTATTAAGGTCAATTCAATGTCTGCCTCGGTTTTTGGTTACGGCCAATGGTTACGTCAACGGCAATGGCTATGACTATGTCCATGGTTACGTTTGCCCTTTGTCCGCCCCATCCCGACCCGTCTGTGCGCGGTGTTTTGCATTTCAGTTTGGGTTTTTTACTTTTTATTTTCTAGAGTTTTTCACGCCTGCACCTGAAAGCCATAGTAATACCTTTAATATTTGAGCAAATTACACTTGAACAAAGTTTTTCGCTCCAAACTTTTTGTAGCCAAATGCTAGATAGAAATTTTTGTGTACGGTTGGGGATCTCTTTTTGGGGCATTTATGTCTTTATTCTTAATTCTTTTTCAAAACAGTAGCTGTGAAATGTTCTTCAATTTAAACCTGCACTCTCTCCATCTTCCTTTTATATTTCTCGCTCTATAACACAAGGTTGAATGAAAGAAAAAAATAATAATATAATTGCCGAAACAAACTTGTTTGAATGGCCAGCAAGCGACCACCTGACCTTGACGAAGTTTTGCCGTGTGGAAATGTTGCCGAAAGTGGATACATGAATAAACATGAATAATTTCTGGCTGGCTTTAGAATTTACGAATTATGTAAGAAATTTTAAGAAAAAAAAGCTAATAATGACTGGGATTTGTGTGCATTTTTATGAAGAGAAAGTTTAAACAAATTTGGGAAAATCTTTTAAATGAGTATAGCCAAAGTTTTTGGTGACATTTAATTAAACGGCAACATAGGTTCAATCAATGTCCCCTTTATGGCGGTATGGCGGCCAATTAATTTACTTAATACTTGCTTTATCATTTTCCATGCCGAAACATAATAGTCGCACAAGAAATTAAAGTTGAAAAGATATTTTAAGCTGAGTGACAGCACAAAATTGGCAAAGAATAAATTGAACAATTTCTGGCCGAATGATTATGCTAATTGATGGCTTAACAAATAAATTCTGGCAGATGCTCCGGGGAGCATCTCCAAACTGCAATTGAATCCACTGAGCACATTAAATTTCCGCTTCCTGCACAGGATGCCTGCCCACATCCCTGGAGGCTTAAGAGCGCCCCCAATGTCATCAGCATTTTCACACTTTTTCGAATGGAAAGTGTGTGTTTCCTGCCGCTGTTGTGGCTCTCTTCTGTTCTGTTCGTTTGCCATAAATGAGAAAATGAATTGTGATATATTTATGTGTGCCTTGGTGCATCTCTTACGCCTGGGAGTGGTAATTATTTTACACGAATGTGTCTGAAAGAGCGGTGGAGGAGGAGGCGGAGCCGGAGCCGGAGCCGGAGTACTTTGTATGCAATCAATTTACGCGCTTTTTAATGGCTAAGAACACGCATGCGACGTGTTGCCCGTTTCCCCGTTGGCGCCGCGTCATGGCATGAGAGCACGAGAGAGCTCGAGAGAGTATATTTCATTTTTACACACAAAAGGCACAAAATCTCATTAAAAAATATTTTCCACCCATGCGTGAACATTTTTAAAAAAGGTATTTAATTAAAGTTTAATAACAGAAACAATAAGCGGTCTGGCTACAAAGTGCAGGGGAGTACGGGAGCTGGGAACTGGGATCTGGGATCTGAGAGCTGGGAATGCGGCTTAATGCGAAAGATTTCAATTAACGACACGTACCCGATCTGGTACTAAGTGGATAAACAGAACGAGGACACCGAGTGGGTGTGGACGAGCTGTGGCTCGGGTCGTGAGTCTGCAAAATGGAAGCTGTTAACGGATGAGTGGCCATCACTCAAAACCGCCCACCACACATGGACCAGAAGGAGACTCAGTTAAGGCACAGAGACAGAGGCAGCAGCACTGAGGCACTGCATCAATGGTCCAGCTATGAATGCATTGAATGCTGCTTCATTAAGGTGCAGCTCTAAGGAGCATCCAGCCAGAGTCCTTGTTGTAATTATCGTAATTACAATGAACGATGATGATGGAGAGAAGAGGCGGGCCAAGCACACAACAATAATGTTGAATCAGAGGACCCAACAGCAGCACCATTGACACTCCTCGAACATGGAACATGCAAGCTCCCGGTGGTGGAATTGAAAGGTTCTCTTTTAATGGATAACAACCCCTCCCCTCACCATTACCTTCTCCATTACTCTGATCTGTTAATTGCGAAAAGAAAGCAGTGAGCAAATGTGGGGCAACATATTCTGCTGCTGCCACATGTTGCTCGCATTGAATGCAAAACGAAACGACTGGGGGAAAACCTCAGACCCATTCTCTGTCTCATTCCACCGCCCATCCATTTATCCAAGCCAGCATCCATCCTGCTGTCTGTTTTGTCTGTTTATAATTATGATGAAAAGGGGGAAGAGGAGCATCCAGCACAGCATCCGTCAGAGCTTTAGAGTAGGGAAAAAACTATGCTGTCACCCAAACCCATTCAGAACGCTGCCCCAAAGGCGTACAAGGGAGAAATAGTGTGCGTGTGTCACTTCGGAAATGAGCAAAAGCATGAGGAAAACTTGCAGGAAAGCTGAAACCGTTTAAAAAATCTAAACAGAAGCACAGCAGTAGGATGATTATTTCAAAACTAAGCAAAAAACAACAGGATGGGACAGTTTGTCTGGGGCCAAATAGAATAATAACTCTAGGGAGCTGTATCATTAAGTTTAATGAATAGATAACTCACACACACACACACACACACACACACACACACACAGGGGAAAAATGTAGACAGGAACTTGCACGGCATAAATCTTTACTGCTGCTTAAAATCAGGGCGAAAACTTTTACAAAGTTGTAAAAAGCTGACTACGGAGCGGAGGGACTGCTACGCTGACAGGCTTTTATGACCTTTTTAAATGGCTCTTTATCCATAAACTGATTAATGATAGGCACAGCCATGCCCAGTTCTGTCCCCTCCTAAATGTCAGCCCTTAGAGCGGTTCGAAGCCATCTCTTGTCCCTTTGAATATGTTTGCTTTTGGGCAAATGGAATTAATGATATTGTTAAGCCGTTTTAAATGAGCCAACAAATTAATCTTGTTTCATTTTTGAATGTTACCATAATGGGCTAACACAGGCATTAGGAGCTAATGGGTGCCATCGACCTGGTTTAGGCCACGGTAAAATCAGTGGAAATTCTCCATTTCCCATTTCCCATTCCTCCTGCCTAGCGGGGGCAAAGGCTGATTGTTTGACTGCTCATCATTCATAAGTATCTACGAGCTGGTATCCATGAGAGTGCCAGTGAGTAAATTGCAACGTTGTCTTATTATTCAAGGCACACACACAGGGCTGAGGATGAGTGGGAGCAACGACCGATGTCAGCAATGACAACCCAAACATTGGATCCATAACGATGCTGCTCATGATGAGGTTGTTGTTGTTGTTGTTGTTGTTGTTGCCACTCTTCCTGCTGATAACAACGCGTGACAACAATGCTGACACATCGAAAGAGATTGTCATTCCATCAATTATTCAGGAACACGCAAATCATCAGCAAAACGCTTCACAATCCAAGTGTCATACAGTTTGTGCCACTGCAAAAGCGGATCATCAGAAACCAGGCAACGTCAACATGCAGCATGAATGTGGGGACGGGCAGGAGGCGGTAAACAACAAAATTGGGGGCCAGAAGGAACAAATATTAAGTGATACAATTTGTATTTCGGGTGGAATTCTAGCCGCAAGGCAAGGCTCGACGAACAATCGAGTCTGAAGGCGGAGAAGGCTTTGGGAAAAAACAGGAAAATAGAACATGAAACATTGGAATCATTGGCATGAATATCTGAGTGTTTTTATTTATGACTGCGTGTCAATATACTGTCGAAAGAGACTGTGTGTGAGTGTGTTTGGGTGCGAGCGGGTCTTAGTCTGCTCTATGGCTGCCCCACTACTACAGAAATCAATCAATTCTGGCCAGAAAACCCCAAAGCAGCCAGAAGTGCTGACTAACTGGAGGGAGGACTCTGAAATCTAAGGATGCTGGGCGTGAGTGTCACCCGTAGTGAGTGTTCTGCGAGGGCTATAAATCGGTGCCTGACATGGTTAAGTGTAGGTGCTTAACAAAGGCTTAGGCCAAACAAGGGGAACCACTTTTTGAACTCCACAAGAGACAGCAGCGAGAAATGAGATAGCAATCATAATCAATCTAAAGGTAGATGTAAAAAGAAGAAAGCAAACTCCGTGCCCAGCAGAGACAACTCTTTTATCTTTTGCGGAGGGAGGAATCACTTTGCGTAGCGTAAATTTCATTTTCGTAGCTAATTGAAATTCATTTGGGCGAAATCAAATTAAGTCAAAAGTATATCCTGTCGCCAGTGGTACGTGTCCTTTGCCCAGAAACAAAAACTCGACGCAAAGTGATTCATTCATAACGATAAATTTTCGGGGCAAGCTAAGAGGCTGACTCTGACGCTGAGAGTGTCCCAGGGGAGATATTCTCACACAAAACTGGAACACTTATACTCCCAAAGGGGCTGCGTATACATGTACATCCTGTGAACGTGTCCTGTCCAATAAATATCAACAGTTTGCTTTGCTACTTTTTTGCTTGGCTTTCCTTTTCTCAGGGTATTCTTAGGGATTGTGGAAGGAAAAACTCAATTATAAAATATCAGAAAATCGCAAACAAATTAAGGTTACAAAATCTGGCTAAGGGCTGCGGCAAACTTTGGCTCAAATCGAAATGAAATAGTGACACAGGCGCTGCCATAAAACCAAAGGCAAATACAAAATGACCGGAGCTGAAGCTGAAGCCTCAACCGAAGCCGCACAAAAGGAGAAAAGGTTAAACCAAATATTTATCCAGCAGCCAGCCAGCCAGCCAAGCCCTAGGATAAGCAGCGTTAGAGTTGAGGGGAAAAGAGTGCTATTGGTCTGTAGAGTGTCGTCTGTATGTAATTACCAAGGCATGGACTGAAAGTACAGCTGTGCCTAAGTACATAGATGGTGGGGAACAGGAGCATCTATACACACATCTATACCCCCCCCGCATGCATGTCTAAACATGTGAAGTGCATGTCTGTGTTTGAGCGTACGTGGCTTTATGCTTAAATAAACATTTGTTTGGGTCGTCTACGAACCTACCTCTGCCTCTGTCTTCGTCTTCCGCTTTGCTGTGTGGCTGGTTTACATAGCACCCAGCGGCAGGGCAGTCAGAGCCAGTTTGCCCCGGTCAAAGCCAAATCGTTGATTGCATAAGTTGATGGCCAACACATGTCCAAGATATATAGTGTCGATATAGTGTAGTCTCCCCCCAGTTCATGCCTGCATACGTAGGCACACCCTCGAGTTACTCACGTGTGGTTTTCGTTCACTTCTAATGATGTCTGTGCAGGTTGCATTGGCTGGCGACTGCCTCTGCTGCTCCTCTTCCTCCTTGAGCTGCTCGAGTGACCTGCAAAAAAGAGAGGAAAAGTTTTCTGTATTACCACACTTTGCAGCCCGGGTGCCACTGATTGCTTTATTGAGATAGAAATCTTCTAGATTTATCTTTCAGCTTCGGTCTAGAGTGGGAGGACAGCTCCTGTAGCTATAGACAAATTGATTTGAAGAACTATTTAGTTGGGTGCGAAGGGGGTGATGGGGTTTCGTTTGCCCATTTTAATTGCTTGTTGGGGTTGGGTCTGTTGTCCCTAAATCAATCAATCAATCAATCGATGTGGCAGGGAAATACATATTTGAAATTTAAGGGGTACCAAAATGCGAAGCTAAAGCACACCCTGCAGCAAATCGTAATCGATGAAACATTTGGATATTAAATTGTTCACTCCAACCCGCGCCCTTGATTTTTCCTCTCATATTTGCTCATTTTCATTTCTTTTTCGCAAGGTGTTTGTTATCGTTTGTTATATTGCTTGTTATGTAATGTAATTTATACACACGCAAACACACACAAGAGAGAGAGAGAGAGAGAGAAAGCCAAATACAATGTCATAAGCGCCAAGGACACAAAGGCAATTTCGCATGGCATTACGGGCAGACAAAACAAACGGAAGGAACTGGAGGAAGAGGCGGACTAAAAGCCAAAAAGTACGCGTTTGGCATAAATGATAAGCTGGCAACGCAGCAGGACAGCAGTGGGTGGAGGAGGAGCAGGAGGAGGAGGAGGAGGAGGATGGATGTGAGTGGGAGTGAGATTCCGGCCTGGAGTTTTTATCCATGGCCCAGACATGCGAAACAAGGCCTGTGTCTGCTTTGGTTCCTGTGCCTGCTTGACTTTTGAATACTTAACAGGATAATGAAATGTCAAAAGTGCGCAGGCGGCCAACGAAAAGCGTGTCCTGTCCTGTCCTGTCCTGTTGTGTTCTGTCCCTGCTCTGGCCCTATCCTGCTGTCCTGTCCCATCTCATATTGATATTCCTCTGGCTGTTGCGGAATTTTATTGTGTTGTCTGTTCACGGGCCCAAGTGAACGTCACGGCGTGCCGCGCGCATTAAATCATAAAGGAAAATGAAGGAACGCATCTCTCTAGCTGTTGGATAACCAAGAGGGTGTATTCTTTGTCCTTTTTCTAAGGGTTTTTCGAATACTCTTTAATCGCGATTGCTTTGCAAGTATTCTGTGCATGTCTCACGTTTACTTTGCCATGTCCTCCATTGAAGCATGTACAGCGGGAAACTCTTTTTCAAACTTTTTCCTCACCAAACATTTCCTCACCTCATATCATACATTTTTCGTGCCACCGCTTTACGGCCTGTCAAATTTATTAACCAATCATTATGCCCCATAAAAAAAGAAGTGTACAAAATGCGCATGAAAAATGTGATATCCAAGTGGAGTGACCAGACGCGGAGGGAGAGGTTTCTTTTTTTGTTGGTTTGTCGGTTGGCTGGCCACTTTATGTTTACATAAATTTAAATTGACACAAATGCGATTTGGGTGCCCCCTGCTGCCCCACCCTTAACTACAAAAAGAGAGAGAAAACCCAGAAAAATGATAAACTTCATAAATGATGACAGTTTTCATGCTGCCTTCACTTTATTTATTTGTAGTGATTGCCAGACAGATGTGAATTGAAAATTTATGTATGTGATTCCCAGCCATTAGAGAGCAGCAAAAACAAAAAGACAATGCAGCGAATGAAAACTCCCTCGTACTCGTAGAGAAAATCAGGTTTAATCAAGGCAACTTTTGTGGCAACTTTTGTCTGTAAATGTCCGAGTGTGAGTGTGTGGAAAACATTTGCCACTTCCTATTGCCTCTGGCCGCTGGCCGCTGGCCTGTGGCCCCTTGCCTGTGGTTGTAGCATTGTCCAGTGTACCGTATCCAGTATCCTGTTAGTTATTGTGCTGTGACTGCCCTGCCTCGCCCCCTACTCTAATACGTATTACTGTGGCTGTTGTGGCAATCGGGGAAAACAAGAAAAAGTTGTAATCAATAAAGTAAATGACCCAGCCACTTCAGGACCATGTGAGAAACATGTCCTGGCAAATGTGTGGGTGGATATGGATGTGGGATACGAATGGACCAAGTGTTGCCATGATTGATTTCTACGCATCACAGCACTGTCCGTAGAGTGGTAAGCAGAGATATAATACTTAAGGAAATACATAAGACATCCCCTCGGATATCTATCTACTATTTGGTTAATCAAGTTGCTTTGTTGTGCTGTAATCCTTGGGGAGCATCCGCAGCTAAACGATTTTACAGATCAATCTTTTTCAATGTCCACAAGAAATACCACAAAAATGTAGTTGCAGATTATGATGGGCACTCGTAAAGGTCTCTTGGGAAGCATATAGGTTCATATATCAATGTTTTAAGACTCTGTTTCAGCAGCTTAGGGCTATAAATGTGCACCACATCAATCTCTGCAAAGAATCCCTTGAAAAAATAAGCAACTTAACACTCGGCCAAGTAGCAAAGTAAAAGAAAACCTAAATCTCTGCGCAAAAGTTCTATTCATTTCAAGTTTCGGGTCCTTATGCATTGTTAACATTTTTATTAATTAACCAAATTGACCAAGTGTACAAATACACACTCTCACACACACACACACACACCCATACACGCAAGCATAATTGATTGAATGCGGCGCCTGAAACAGGGCAACATTTGGCGCGCCCATCGAGGCCCAAGGCTTGAGGCTTCCTCCTTCTGGAGTGCCGGAAGCTGCCTTCATTTTGTTAATGAACTTGAAACAGTCTCTGGAGGGCAAAAGCTGCTTTGACTACCAGTCTAATTGAAACGAAAATCAAATGAAGCACGCATTAAAGCAGCGCCTTGCGGCAGCAACCACCACCCAGCCCCATCCACCACATGCCACACAGAACAATGAGTTGTAAAATATTCAATGGCAGGAACTCACTTGAATGGCGCTCGTACCGCTTATTGACTCTTCAGGCCAATTATGACCCAAAAAACTACGCAAAATGGGGGAGTGGGAAGGCGTGGAATGAGGGCAAACTTTGGCCACAATCTCAACAAGAAAATCTGTAAATTACACGCCACCAGCACTGAGAGGGCAGGAGGCAGGAGGCAGCAGGCAGCAGGCAGAAAATTTCCCAAATATTTATACACCTAAATAGATTTGATGGCATAATTGAAATTTGTTGTTATTGGCTGTGGCCCTGAATCTGGCCCTCGATGTTTTTGTGTATTTGCAATTTGCATAAATGCCAAATGGCCAAATGGCAAGTAAAAGTTTATTAAAAGCATCGCCGAAAGTTTTCCACCGTAATAATGATGAAGGTTCCACTTTTGCGAAAATTGTGACACATAGCTGCCGGGGCAAGAATGAAAAGGACTTGGAAGAATGTCCTTGTAGTCCGCCGACTGACAGCCAACTTGTCTGTCGAGCAACAATTTATTTTTCTCTTTTTTTTTTTTGATAATTTAACTTTGGCTGTAAAATTAGATTTGTTGCCAGCGACTTTTCAGAGAGCTGCCTTCAACGCTTGTAACGAATGTTGAACAGAAAAAAACGGTGTGTTTTTTTAATTGCAGCTGAATTTCTCCAGGGGATGAAGAGAAATTATATACAGCTCCAGGGCACAGTTCTGTACAAGTTTATCAGGTTATTTAATATACATTTGTTGCAAATTTCAAGTGGCTCTAAATACGAATATAACCACAAATCTTACACACAAAAAGCAGCCACAACAAATATAATTGTCTGACTTTGAATGGTCTTTCGGTTAATGGTTTAGATAAGCGGCAAAAACTTCTGCTAAAAAGTTCAACTTTGTACAAAAAGAAATGACTACATTAGCAAAACCATTTGGAGATGTTTGATAAAGGCAAAGCTGAGTGTAGGAAAAGCAAGTTTAATCAGGGAAAATTGTAGTAACTGAAGAAACGATGGAGAGTTTTAAGTTTTGCTTATCGCTTATATGCTTAAAACCATAAAGGCATATTTCCCTTTGAACTCTTTCTCTCTGAATGTAACTTATAATAGATCTGTCCCCATTTAGCATGCACTTCAGACGGCTTTGGCTTAGCCATTCAACAAAATGATAAGGCCAACTTGTCTGGCTCTTCACCGACCTACAAATCGCTCTCCAATTAAATCCTTTTTTGTTTTGTGCATAAACTAACTTTGCATTTGCAACTTTTTCATTCTGCCTGACAGAGCCGCTCTTCTCCATTTGCCATTTGCCATTCCCCGTCTATTTGTCCACCGTCAAGTTCTGCCTGCTGCCTTGTGAACCTTTAATAAGAGTCCTGCCGAGTCCAAGTCATTTAATGTGCTTACATTCATTTCGTTTTAAATCTGTGATAAAGTGGGGACCCGCTTTAAGCCTAGTAGTAGACCCTTCTTGCTGCTGCCCCAAGTTTCACTCTGCTTTTACGCTCGTCCGCCTGTCTCTCCCTCTCTCTCTGTCCCACCCCGCTGCCTGCTTAGTAGCCAAAGTTGTCGCCGTGTCGCGACAAACGCCATTCTTTACACGACACGAGCTCCTCTCCGTTCTGTTCCTTGCGCTTTTTTGTGTTTCCGCTCGTTGCTGCTTGGGATTTTTCTTATGTTTTGTGCGCCTTTTTGTGCTTCCGGTTGGTGTACGCGCTTTCTAGATTACTTTTATAAGTGAATTTGTTGCGGTTTTCCGCAAAATTTACAAGTACGTGAGAAAATTAGAGCTTAGCCTCTTGGAGCCGCTTGTTGCGCGCTGCCTGGTTGGCCTTTTATCCAAGGTTTTCCTCTTTCCGTTCATTTTTGTTTCCTGTGCTCAAGCCCTATTACCTCGGGATCTTTAAGGTGTACAACATGGCGTCTGCTTAATGCTGGGTTTAAACATCACCCATACGCCAGCGTTGCAGCAGGCAGCAAGCAGCAAGGGACTGACACTGGCAGCGCAAATTAGCAAGTTCATTATTTGCTTAGCCATCGCCTTTTGCCAATTTAACGCCAATCCTAAATGCGACTCTCTAAAGTGTGCGGCGGGGAAGGCTAACGAG